TGCGCTAATCTTGTAAGAGATTCTTAATTTTTTTCCAAACGTTATGAAATATGACAAAATCTTACTTATATTATTAATGCGAATGTTTGGATGGAAGGATGGATGGATATTTATAAGGATGTATCTTCAGAACGAGTTCATAGAACTTGCTGAAATTTGGCATAGATTTAGAATATAGCCCGAAAGTATTCATAAACTATTAATTATGTTTGTTTTTTATTTCACGCGGACGTAGTCGAGGGAGACAGCTAGTATTTCATATATACATGAGGATAAAACAAAAATCTAAATCCCAGTGTCCAGTTTTCCCAATAGTGCCACGATGAACCGAAATTTATGTAAAATTGTAAATGTTATCAACTAAAACTCTTTTAAATAAATGCATATATTTTACAATTATATTTAGACTAATATTTTAGAGTCCTAAAAGTTATTAATTAGCGCAATAATTACAGTTAATTTTAGGAAAACTTAAGCATTTCTTTAAATAACAATGAATACGAGTTGGAACTATTTGCATCAGTGACTTGTCTTACAAAAATATTTTATTGCAATATCGAGAATGTAACATAATCGTCAATTTATATTCAATTGTGGGAATTTTATTTATATTTCCAGCCGTCGTTGTTCGGTCCAACTCGCGGCGCGCCGGGAAACAATCTGCAAGAGTGTCAATTCATCTTAACAAATGCCTATTTCCTTGATATATCCGTTTCAAGCTGAAAGTATTCTTTCAATATACATAAGAATATTACATACTAGCTGTTGCTCTACTGCGTCCGCGCGGTACAATGAAAAACTTAATAAGTAGCCTTAGTGTTTCCAGACTATGTTCTACATCTGTGCCAAATTTCAACAAGATGTGAGCCGTTTCATCAATCCATCCATACATTCATCTAAACTTTCGCATTTATAATATTAGCAATATATGTTCATGACCCTGGTTTTCTGCGCCCAAATTCTCAGTTTAAAATATACTATTGTAAGCATTTTGAATCATTTGTGATATGAAAATGTTGTAGATTAAATAACAAATTCATAATTGGAATGCACAACAGTCGGATCGTTTCAATTTATGTCCGATAGGCAAGGAATATTTCATTTATCCGACAAGGTCTCCTTCAATTAGGGACCTCAGCGTGCTCGTTTGCATGACTTTGCAATTTTAATGTGAATTGAGACGAATTAAATTCTTGACAATTTGGAAAGTTATAAAGGTCGATTCCAATATGATTATTAGATTTATTGAACTATGTTCATTTACCGTTGATACCTTGTTAGTGGCACTTTTTAGACGACTTCAAAAAGAAGGAGGTTAACAATTCGTCTTTTTTTTTGTAATACAAGTTTTTCCCTTTTCTATGAAAAAAAAAATCAAAAAATTTTGTCATTTTTTGACAAGTATTTTAGTAAAGGAATTTGTTATATATTTTTTTGCTTAAAGTGGATTAAGTGTTACTTGAATAAGTTATCTTCAATAGCAACGCTTTAGTGAAATATGTTTTAATATTCATAATCCCTGTTGGAACATTGACTGAGTAACAAAAGAAAGCTGCGTTCTTGAATAAATCAACGAAGATAGACAGCCTTGGCCTAATTTTAGATGCTTTCGACAGTTCTAGCTTTTCTTCTTTGATAATTTTTTATCAGTTTATCCAATAATAATATTATCACAAAAAAGAAAAATGTTATCTTAGGTAAACTGAGTTAATAAAAGTTAATCAGACAAAAAACCTTAAAAGGTAATGTCTACCCAGATCTAATTTATAAAACTTTTTTTCTAAATATAAAACCTTTTTCGTACCATAACCGTAAAAAAATATATTTGGAAGACGCTCAACAATTTCCCTAACATAATAGACAACGACAATGTGTTACTGACTATGTATGTCCGCTTAGCTGCAGCGATGCTCTGAGCCAGTTTGGAATGCAAAATTTCCTATTTGAATTTCAAAATACGAGATACTCCGAAAAGGCGTGAGGGGAAGGGGTATTGGGAGAAGGGTAGGAGAAGCAAGCGACTCGTTGAATACACCTCACGACACTTCCCCTGGTGGTCGAGTGAAACAAGTCGAACGTGGCAGCGACATCTGAATGCCAATTTTGTTGACGTCGGTTTTATGCTGTTGTAAGTTATCCCCGCAGGGACGCAGTGTGATTAATACATTCCCCTGGAGCCGGCTGGGATCGCATAAATCTCTAGTTAGAGAGCTCCATTCCGTACCGCTAACTCGATCCGGTCCCGTGATAATCCACGGCCACGTCTCCGTTCAACTCCTTCAATTACAGGCTATATAGAATGGACGCGGTGACTCATCTATGTACCATTTATTCTGTTTATGTCCAGGATTTTACATGTTATTGCATGAACTTATTATGCATAAAAGCAAATGTAGTCAAATTTCCAATATGATTATGATGTGTGTTATAAAAGAAAAATATTTAAAGTTGTCAAAAACGAAACCCTCTTCACGTATCTACTTTTGATTGATGAGTAGACCGTTGTCAATTTTGTGGCCTGGGCAAACATTAAGTAAATTTTAAGGGACCCATCAAATTGATACCAAGTGTGTTTACTGTATTCAAAGCTTACCGATATCAGTGGCGGCGTGGAGTAGGTCGGCGAGGAGCTCTGGCTGGTGACAGATGGCGAGGCGGTCGTGGTGTGCTACAGCCAGGTCGGGCGGAGCCTCGCGTAGCTGCAGCGCCACGGCGCCCTCACCGCCCACTGCCGCGCTGTACATCACCACTGCGCGTGGCGAGAACCGCGACAGCGGCAGCCGCGTACTCGCCACCTGATAGAACAAACAAGTTTCATTACATTAGTTACAAAATGTACACTAGATTTGCTATATTAGAGAAATTTCAAAATTAACTTCACACTTCAGACACATTATTGCATTCATCTATTACATATTCACTACCGTTATCTGTGATCTTCTCCTATCATGCAGGCAGTTTATGAATACCTGCCTTGTGGGTTGTGGTCGAAAGCTTCTTCCAGTGCTAACCAGCCAAATTTTACAGGGATGAAGATTGTGGATAGAAGTACAGGAAGTCACTTTAGACTCGACTTGAGTAGTTAGTTTAAATTACTCCTAATCTGCTTTGTCGTTAAAGCAATTCGTTAATATCTGTATGCTTGTTCAGTTACTTGAATCATCCATCATGTGAAGTCTGCAAGCCATTACCAGGCGCTCATAAATTCGTAGTAGAGTAAATAAATATAGTTTGTGTTGAGTAATTATCAGGCGTATTGTCAGTGGGCTCGTGTAACGATGCTGTAGATTACAACACGATTAAAGGCGAACCGCCCTCGCTCTCTCGCCTTCGGTAATTAAATATCGCTCCGGTATATCAAAAGCGAGGCAACACAATACGGTCGGTTAATACCGCCTTTTTGGTGTTTTATATGTAGCTTGATTTTGAAATCTTGCTTTTTTTATAATTGGAGTACGGAAAAGGTCAAATTTCTCACAACGGTATTCTCATTTAGGCATTTTTTATTAGTAAATTAATGTATATATTTTTATTATACTTTATTAATGTAGGAGCCGTTTTAAGGATCAAATTTTTAAAAATAAAACAGCCTTTTTTAGACTTATGTTTAAACGGCAAAAGACAATAGTGTCTATAAATTTTTTGATAAAATTATTTCTTAATTCGCTTAGTAAAGTTAAAATGTAAACAAAAAAGACTGAAGTAAAAAAATAACGTAATGGATTAAACGCAAGTTTTCGGGCAACGTTAATTTTATACGGCGCTTAAAATTTTGTAAAGTGTTTTAGATCGCTTCTAGAGCTCCCAAAGTTTACTACACGCACATTCTTTCTGCGACTTAGATAAGATCAGTATGAAATAAATACAATCTCTAAGTAAACAATGACGTAATTAAGAATATATCACAGTATAAACAGGAGACAGCTCAATGGTTAATTCAAGCAATATTTGTTGGGCCTACACATTGACCTTTATCTGCCCTTGTGGGCTATTTATGGAACATCATACAAATTTAGTTAGAACAACAACCACTTGACGAACAACGGCTACATCTGTGTGAAGGTAGAAGAGGCGAAAGTTGTGTATCAGGACCATACCAGAATTATTTGATCACCACCTATCACATAATTGAGTCACGGACGTCAGTGTTTTTACTTTATCATATTTTACTTATATTTTAGCAAACTGTCACCCGCGACTCCGTCTCTAATCTAATAATTTTCAGGCCTATTGAATATGCATATAAATTTCATATAAGTCAAGCAGTTTCGGAGGAGTATGGTAACTAACATTGTGACACGAGAATTTTATATATAAGATAATCAGTGTAACAATTTGAATACGCTTACTAAACAAATTAATTAAGGCAAGGTCAGGCAATTCTCTTGAAAATAGTATTACGCTTCATCTTAAGCCGAGGATAAGCTGTGTGGTGTTGAGTAAAGAGCGGTAATTAAGGGCTTCCAACGTAAGCCCGTGGGGCGCAGGTATAGCCGCGTTGATTACACCGAAGCAATCCCTCGATGACCGTTCACAAATAATGTGTCGTCGTCATATACTAATTGTTCAGCTTGTATTATGGAACACAGAAATACTGATTATATTAAGTCAATATAACGTATATATACATATATTGTTAGATTTAACAGTGCGTGGAAAACAATTGACATACGAGATTATAAGATGTTTTTCTACAACTTTTATGTCTGTAAAAACAGACTTTAACAAATGTTTGTCAACAACAATCCGAATACAAAACAATTTTTGATATATCTCCAATAATGTTTTAAAAAATCTTGTACTAATTGCATGTCATCTATTGTTTTCCTATTTATCAATGTGCCTAAACCAGAGTTAAGTTGGGGTGAACGGCGAATAATGTTTATTAATAAAATATAAATTGAAGAAAAAAAAACACGCACAAAGTACCTTTTAAGACCAAGAAGAATTACGGAAGATGATGAACGTAAGATAGTGGTAGCGATCATTTATTTTTTACTAGCTGTCGCCCGCGACTCCGTCCACGTGGTATTAAAAAATAACCTAAGTAGCCAATGTGTTCTTCCAGGCTGTGCCAAATTTCAGGACGATCCGTGCAGCCATTCTGGAGATACCTTCAAACAAACATCTATCCATACATTCGCATTTATAATATTAGTAAGATGGCGTTCACTTAATGATTTATGAGATTATTAATACTACAAATAACTTTTACCGTTACATATAAGGATGTATTACAAATAATGTTATATCTGTCTTATGATTAATCGCTGTCAATAGTATTTGTATAGATATTGGCAATATTTTTGTAGGAAGAGTGGCTTTACCTTGGACATAAATATCTTTTGATATACGATTAAAGAATATATTACAGTTCAGATGTTAGTAAAATAGTATGTTTACGAAAACAAGTAAATCAAAACAAAATATGCGTCAAAGATTAAAAATAATGTCTTAAAATAGGAAGAATATTACCTTTTATATTTTATGATAATCATCATCATCAGCTCACTATACGTCCCCACCGAGGGGCTCGGAGCCTACCCTAAGTTAAGTGTGATTAGGCCATAGTCAATCACGCTGGCCAAGTGCGGGTTGGTTGACTTCACACATATCTTTGAATTTCTTCTCAGATATGTGCAGGTTGCATCACGATGTTTTCCTTCACCGTAAGAACGTCGGATAAATGTACATATGTAAATCGGAAATTGAAAAACACATTGGTACATGGCGGGATTCGAACCCAGGACCTGCAGATTGCAAAGTGCTTGACCACTGACCCACCGACGCTCTGATTTTTTATGATAAACATGCATATAAACATAATAACAACATATCTCGGGTCCCCGACTGGCGGCCGAACCATTAGTCGGCCCAGGTACCGCTGGCAAGACGCTGTAGAGATGGATCTGCGGTAGCTACAAGCGATGGACTGGCAGGAGAAGGCGCAAGACAGGCGACTTAGGAGATCTCTTTTGTCGGAGGCCAAGACCCACTTTGGGTCTATGCGCCAGTGAAGTATGTAAGTACATTAAACAAATACATAAACCAGCATATACTGAGGTAAATAAACTTTACTACATAGTCCACAGCCTAAGATTGAATGATAGAATGAAAATAAGAAAAAATGAGTTTCTGAGACCAAAATCCACGTCTATAATATAATCTTGTCTGTTTTTTTAAAGATAATGACAGAGATGACGATATGTTTAATATATACATTTTGGTGTAAAACCAACGGTTAGCCCTTTTTATAGTTTCTAAAGAATAATATTGTTTAATAAATAGTAAAATATTTTATGTTTATGCAGTCGCTATTGTTTTTGTTTACATGACGTAAAAAAATCATTTTACAGCCTTTTAAACATTTTCAATGTTTTTGTCGCATGCGATAGGTTTTCACGCGAGTTGATTTTTGGTTGTGCCAATGTACTATTGTTTGAAAGTTTGAAAAAAAATACCTATAACGATCCTTTGTTCTATTTGTTGAATACGTTATCAATTGTACGAAGGTAAAATATTTCTACACTAATATTTTAACATTAATTTCAATTTATTTACTTTGTAACATTAAAATATTTACCAGCATTGGGATAAGAGCGTCGGTGGCTAGGTGGTCAAGCACTTGACATGCAATCTGCAGGTCCTGGGTTCGAATCCCACCATATACCAATGTGTTTTTTTTCGATTTCCGATTTACATATGTACATTTATCCGACGTTCTTACGGTGAAGGAAAACATCGTGATGCAACGTCCATCAATAGATGACGATATGTTTTATGCAAAGATTTTACTGTCACAAACCATCGGTTTGTAAATCAAACATAACATAAAAAGAAATAACACTGCAGTTGTTATAAATTATATAAAACAAAAATAAACATTGTATATAAAGATGCGTTTCTTTTATTGAGAACAGAAATGGACGTTCGAGAAAAATCTAGAAATAGTCTTCTGCGAATTGGATCTGTTAGCGTCAGATTTTAAATCCGTGACATAGTTTAGTAGAGTAGACAAACTAAAAATAAAAACAAAACATTACAACGTGTAGATTAATAGTTTAAGAGTTTTTGCTGCATTCGACAGTTGATAAGTTATGCGAGTTCTTGTCACAAGCGAGACGGATACGAATGCAAAAGGCGCGTGACGATCGCTTTCGATTCATCACTTTGGACTCTATCACATTCGAGATAGAGATGCAATTGCAATGATACGCTTTGATATGTATCTTACATGTTTCGCTGTGTCCGAGCCGTCGCAAACTAAACACCCGCGACACATTGGCTTAGTTGGAATCGGACCAAACCTCTGATCCGTAGACGAACGCCGCGCCAATACCAATATTTAAAGACACTGTATGTACAATACATTGCACAATAACAATTGATTGTTCCTATTATTAATTAATAAAGGATATCATCCTCACTATCCATCCTATTCTTATGTTTGAAACAATGATAGACCGTAGACAAATAAACTAAACCTTAGTAATAGACACTAGCGAAAAATGTAGATTTTTTAACTCGATCTTACTAATTTTATAAATTCGAATGTTTAGATGGATGGATGGGTAAATGGATGTTGAAAGTATTTACAGATCGACTGAATGGATTTCGATGAAATTTGGCATAGATGTAGAAAACTTTACCACAAAGAAGAACTAGAAACAGATAAATTAAGAACATAAAGGATATCAGCAAGTATAACTACATATGCGCAGAAAACTTTGTGAATCCTGAAGTGAGTAGTTGAGTGTATAAAATCAATAAATATCTCCCTCACATACATATTGTT